TCGTATAGTTTCCTTGATCAATCCTCCCAACGGCGGACGACGCGTTTTCAGACGACGCGGTCGGCGCAACAAAACGGCCGTCGTAGAAATTGGAAAACGCGTTTCGCCCGACGCCGCGATGGCTTTATCGCTCTTCGTCGTCGTTTTGTTCAAAGGGGAAGTTCGTTTCTCAGAGGTAAAGATAATTCGCGTACTCGGACAAGAGACCGTAGAATTTTTCTTTTCGCAATGGTCTGAACGCGGATCGTTCGGTCTCGCGTGATTTATAAATATGGCGCAACGCGTACGTTCTGCGCGAGATTAAATGTGAATTGATCGCTCGGAAAAAGTCGAGCGGTTTGCCACAATATGGTGATACGGCAATGGCATCGCGGTAAGATCGTAAGAACAAATATCTGTCTGATTCAATAACGCTGGAGTGCAGTGGTTTCAGTACGACGAAGTTTCCGAACAACGAAACAATGTTCGCCAATACTTTTGGATCTTTTCGAGACCACGTTTCGGTGCGCAACAGTACGTTTCCATCTCGTTTCAGGATGCTCATTGCTATATTCGAGATATCAACTATCTTCCAGTTCGCGACATCGATCATTACGAAGGATATTTTCGGTAGAGATTTTTTGCAGGACTGAAATTATTTCCTGCCGAAAAAGAAAATTGGATGATCGCTGACGAATCCACGATGATACTGCTCGTCGTATCCTCACCGTATCCTCGCGCTGTGCACGATCTGCGCATGTAGATGTAATCCGTGAGAATCAAACAGTGAGATCGATCGGAAGTCACGACGGCGAAGTCCAGCCTAGCTATGTTCTGAAGCAATCCGCCCACTTTCAAATCGCGAGTCAGCGCGGCGTCTATCTCGGCGATTTATACGTTCGTACGATCAGGAACATCCGTGATTCTTTCGACTCGAAGGTACATGCGAATTTGATCAATCATCTCGTGAACGTTCGTATTCGACGAAACGCTCCTCGCNGGGGGGGGGGGGGGGGGGAGACGTTGTTGTCTTCTTTTCCAATGGTGGTGACGGAGGCGGATACATCGGCCCACCAATATTTGTCGTATGAAACAGTCGCGTCCATACGCGGTAGCAGACATTCCCTTCGGCACCAAAAAAGTGGATCGACGATGCCAGCAGTGGTGGAAATGAAAGCATTCGCGCCATCGTTCATATTAATGACTTTGAATCTTTTTCGAGCGTAACATGGTCTTTCTCGTGCTCATTCAGACGTAGGTATAAATGCATTTCGACAAACAAATTTTTAAAGTAGATTGCCATGATTGCCAACGATTGTATGGTCGTTTCGTTGAACGATATCGTCGAAATAATAGCTCTCACGGTTGTATTTGTAACGAACAAATAGACCTTTTTCCGTAGACGCATTTCCAAAATTTATTCACTTCCATTCGCCGAAGCTAGGAGCGCCATCAATCAAGTAGGTTTATTTGACAAAAACTTCTTGAAACTCGGTGGTTCTCTTCTGCTGGAAAGTCTGGGCACCGTTCAAAGCAATATTCGGGATATGGCCAGAGCGCAAACTTTTAGATTGTCGCGCGTCGTAGCGGATAACATTCCTCCGTTCCATATTCGTTTGTATCATCGATTACACTCGAACGGCGGTCATTGCGATCATCGTCCACGCTTCGTGTGAAACGGTAATACGTACGACGATGTCGTCGACGACGACGACGGCAGGGACGGCGGAAACGCTTGGATAAATTTGCGATGAAGAAACAAACGTTCGCTTCTTTTGAATTCGTGGTGCTTGAGAAACGATGGCAAAGTGGATGATTCTACGATGTTCGATAAAGATGACGAAGCTCCAGACGTCGACGATATACTGATCGCCGATGACGGCTGTGGTATCGTCGACACTTCTCGACGGATTGCCGACGAAAACAACAACGAGGATGCTGATGATGACGAAAAAGATCGTGGCGGCAATGATAGAACGTAAGTGCTGAACGAGGACAAAAGACTCAACAAATGCTTGATTCGAGATTTGCCAGTCGCGATGCGCAAAAACGAAGATCGTTGGTTGGTGGCTACAATCTCTCGTTTCAACAAACGCACTTTGGTCGCGCGCATCAAATCGTATCGTGAAGCCGCGGTGCTATCGTACACTTTCGACAAATTGGACGCGTGCCAACTCACGCTGGATTGGCTGCAACGAACTGTTACCAAGTGTGATCTCGAGACACAGAACAGACGGCTGGAAATGGGGCGCACGTATGCGAAAAAATGTAATCGTATCAATACGTACACGAACGTTATTACAATTTCCTAGTGGAGCGAAACAAAAGCAAATATTCCGTCTTGCCGATGTACGTGCGAGTGTTGAATCATCTGGTCAATTATTCGCCGACCGTGACGCTGGCGCAGTTTCACTATTACGTTTATCAAAACAGTTGTTCGTTCAATGAAGTGTGCAAATTTTTTTTCGCGCGTGCGGCGACAACGAGTTGTTAGTAGAGCAGAAAAGCCGGTTCTAGCACAGTTGTCGCTGTTTTACCGACCGAGTAAGACCCTGCAAAGGCCGGTTGGAGATGTTGGCGCTGTTTTACCAACCGAATAGGACCCTGCAGCGGTCGGTACCCTCCTCCGACAGTCGGTATACTCTTGTCCTCGCGAAGGTCCGCACCCCTCCACCCACTCTCCCTCCGATCGCGACGACCCGTGGTAGTCGCCCGCGAAGGTCCGCACCCACCTTCCCCCGCAGCGGTCCGATCGGTACCCCCTCCAGCGGCCCGTTCGCGACGACCCAAGTTTACCCACCACCCAGCGCACTCGCCCCTATAACGCGTTCACTTACATCTAAAAGGGGGAATACAGGGAAAAAGTAAGGAGGAAGATATTAAGTTAAGAAATTGTTTACGATCAAAAAAATAGTTTATTATTATGAGTCCTGACGTACACACCAGAGGTCAATCACTCTTGATGGACCTTGGGATTCATAGCCTGATAAAAACGCAAGTCAGTAACCTAGGTAAAACGAATTGATACTACGTAATTCCTAGAAACATGATGCATCCAGATACCAAATACATCACAGAAACAACTTAATCACCAAGATAACACGACGGAAATTAAAGCTATTATCTTAGTTCTTTGTATCAGAAATCACCTCCCCTATTTTTTTTTATCAACTTCCTCTTTATATCAAAACCCCTTTTTATAATAACACCTCTCCTCTGACGAAGTCGAATAGGGCCCTGCAGCGGTCGGTACCCGCCTATCGCATTAATTTACATCTAAAAAGAGGAATATGAGGAAAAGGTAATAGGGAGGATATTAAGTTAAAAAATCTTTTACGATCTAAAATAGTTTATTATTATTTATCAAGAGCATAATGTACAATGTCTTTCAAGGCGCACGCCAATAGCTTGCAGTCGACAAAAGACTCGCTGTCGAAATTACCATCGCGTATTACTTTAGCGGCGTAACACCAGTCAGTAGTTTTTAACTCATACCATACGCCAATAATATCATTTTGTTGCAAAATGCTTACAAATTTTTGGAACTTTGTATTAACAAGATGCGTATTTTCGTATAACCATGAGTACATATGATCCAATACACTGCTCAAAATTGAATACGGTATTCAATGTTTCTGGTTTTAAATACATTGACTTGTTGAACAATATAAGCTTTATAATGGTATCACCATGCATCATACAACATTCCACCGCCAAATCTCGAATCCATAATGGTGAAGAATGAGATGACGCCACATGTCGCTCGATGTGTGCACGTCTATGTATAATTTCCTTCCAGATTTCATTTGGTAATATCAAATGATTGCAGCGATTATCACCAAGAACAATTTCCACGTAGAATGCAAGTCCTACACTAAATCCAATTTCTAAGTATTTATATGACGTAGTTGTTAACATGTATCTCCTCCCTAAGATACAAGCAGGAATACGTGGTTTTTCAGTAGAAATGCTGTAAAAAAAATATATGAGAAGTTTTTGTTAAATATTCAAATCTCGGAAAGAGAGATTATATTGCATATACGAGGGCAGTCCGATAAGTACTTAGCCTACAAAAGAAAAACGAAAATTTTGGAAAAGTGGTGATTTATTTCTCAACATAGTCTTCTTTTAGCTCTNACTACCTTCGAGTCTTGTCGTCACGAAGCAACTGATGGAATGCATGAGCTTCTCGAAAAATATATAGAGAGTTTCCCACCAAGTTTATTTTCCCTCCCCTTTTTATTCTTCGCGGATGTCAACCTTTGCAACGCACATACCGATAGATTTTTCTAGAAAATTTAATAATAAATCTCTAACACGGCGTCGTAGCCGATCAAGTAAGCACTCACACATTACTGAGATAGCACCAATCATCATAGCGTAGAAGACAAAAAAATGATGTGCGGTATAAGGACACACGATATTTATACTTATTTGAAAGAATCACTTTTTAAAAGTTATTATTTTTTCGACAACGCTACATGTTGCGTACGCGTTAAGCGCTAATGGATTCATTATCAGAGGATGTTAGATATGCATAGGTTTGTTACAAAGAATGCTGATAAAACCTTTTATCGAAACTGTTTTCGAAAACCTTCAAGCGCTGATGGATTCATTATCAGAGAATGTAAGATATGCATAGGTTTGTTACGAAGAATGCTGATAAAACCTTTTATCGAAACTGTTGTCGAAAACCTTCGCTAAACGCTTATGGAGATACTTGGATTTGTCATCAGAGCACATTGTGAACTTTTTCCCAGATGGGTCGGCGATATCTTCAGAGTCTATCACTTCCCCTATTTTTTTCACCTTAAAAGAGGAAATATAAGGCAGTAACGTACAGTCAGTTTGTACCAGTCAATGTCGGTATATTAAAAAGCGAAAGATCATAGTAGGTTGTTCAAGCGAAGGCACTGCACAGTGATCAGTAAAAAAAGAGTTAAATAATGAGAAAAGTTGTGTGAGAAGTGTTTTAGAAGATTTTAGAAGATTTTATAAGTTTTTTCAGAAGATTCTAAAAAATGGAAGTGGACAATGATGTTGAAGTGGACAAGGATTTTGAAACAATAATGGATTCATCCGATTCATCCGATGATAACCAAATTCTTACAGACGATAGTGATGTTCTCAGTGACTGTAGCGATGACTTTATGGAAAAGGAGGTTAAAGTGATGTGTAATGCGGAAATCAATGCGCTGAGGACAAACAAAAATGTGTTGCATCTATTTTTTCTACTCTACAGGAGGCAATGCAGCGTTTTGTGCTTCATGTATATTGCGAGTGACAAACTTATTCACACACATATACGGCGTTCAAAAGCATCTGATTGAAAGACACGATGCGATAGACGGAAGATTTTGTGTGAATTGCAATAGACCACTCTTTCAAATACTTCCGTGCAATTTGTGTCCTGTATGCATACGTTAGTAACAAACGTGCGACAGTGAACATTTTTAAAGAACTATACGGATAAGATAGAAGACTATGAAATTTATTGATGACTATTTGCTTTAATCGGCTATAAAAACCTGAAAGATAATTTTGACAGTGTTTAATGAAAAAAAAATGGAAGAACTCGCGCGAACTGAACGTGAACTGTGGGATTNATAGACGGAAGATTTTGTGCGAATTGCAATGGACCACTCTTTCAAATACTTCCGTGCAATTTGTGTCCTGTATGCATACGCTAGTAACAAACGTGTGACAGTGAACATATCTAAAGAACTATACGGATAAGAAGGAAGACTATGAAATTTATTGATGACTATTTGCTTTAATCGTCTATAAAAACCTGAAAGATAATTTTGAGAGTTGTCAGTGTTTAATGAAAAAAAAATGGAAAACTCGCGCGAACTGAACGTGTACTGTGGGACCAATCCACTCGATTGAGTTCGCGAGACGAGTACAACGTGTGGGAGGAACGGTGTGATGAATGCCTCGAGTCGTTGGAAGGACATAGTCGAGCGAAACGACCGAGATTATCGATCGGTGTTCAACAATCGTTAATTGCTCGAATTATGCGACTCGAAGGACTAAAACATTTATTGCGTACGCGTTTTGTACATACTGGCGCCGAACATTCAAACGCAGGACTCTTGTGGCGTGAAATAGACACTGCTTTCAATAGCCGCGTATTAACTGGTGCGGTTATAAATGTAAATTTTATCGAACCTCTTCGATTTCTCCAGAGTGCGAAGGACATAGTGCTTGAACATGTACGAAACGCTAGGGAGAGACACGCAAGTGTGAAAGTGAACACTGCATTTAACGGTGAGTTTGTCACGGGTGATAAACGCGCAAACAAAAGTATTATCACAAAAAACTTTGAACTCTTTCGCGCATCCGATCTCGAAGAGTGGTATTAGCGACGTGTTATCGAGCCCACTTTGGCATCTTTAGAAGAATTTCAGGAACGTGATAGCGGATGGGCATTGTCGCGAATACTCAACCTAACAATCAATGTGAACAAGTACAATCCGATGCGTGCGGGATGCCACATTGAGTTACCGCGCGAGATACAGATCAAGAAAGCGGTAATCAACGTTAAATTTAGAGACAATGCGTGTTTCGCGTGGGCAATGGTTGCGGCTCTGTATCCAGCCGATAGAGACGCAAATAGTGCATTCTTGTACCCACACTATACAACAGTGCTCAATTTACAGAACATTGAGTTTCCATTGTGTGTAAATCAAATAACAAACTTCGAACAACAAAACAATATATCCATCAACGTGTACAGTGCCAAAAAGAAGAAAACAGAAAAAGGAAAAACGACACATGTGATCCTTTCGATACGTCTCACTGACCGCAAGATGGACAGACATGTCAACTTGTTGTACTTGCCAGATCCAGGAAATGATAATGTTGGACACTTTGTATGGATAAAAAACTTGTCCCGACTTGTGAGCTCGCAACTAAGCAAACATGATCATAAGAAGTATATCTGCAGCCGGTACGTATAAATTTGTAAAAAAAATATTATAAATATATTTTGAAATGAATATTAATTAAAATGTTTTTTTGCAGATGCTTGCACTATTTTAGTTCGAGTGAAAGGTTGCAGGTCCATACTATAGATTGTGGAGAAATGAACGACTGCGCCATCCTGCTGCCTAGCGAGGACGACAAATGGCTCAGTTTTTGCAACTACAACAGGAAAGAGCGTCTACCGTTTGTCGTGTACGCCGATCTGAAGTGCATCTTACAGAAGACTACGAGCGAGGAGGAGGAGGATGGAGAGGATCGCAAATCTCACGCGTATCAGCATTATAGGGTAGTCAGCATAGCGTATTATTTACATTGCTCGTATGATGAGTCATTATCGTATTTTCGAAGCCGTCGCGATAGTAATTGCGTCTCACGGTTCGTCGAGCAACTCGAAGAGGTAGCGCACCGCGTAAAATTAGTCTTATCAACAAATGTCTCCATGGAAACTTTATCAAACGAACATTTGGAAACATTTAATAGCGCAACGCACTGTCACGTGTGCGAGAAAGAGGATACACGCGTACGCGTACGCTATCATTGCCATCTCATCGGACGGTAGAGAGGTCCCACGCATTCAAAGTGCAATTTAAATTATAAACATTCATATTACATTCCAATGGTTTTTCATAATTTATCCGGCTATGATTCACATTTTATTATCATGGAAATAGCAAATTCATTTGAAGGCTTGATCAATGTGCTGCCGATATCAAAAGAAAAATATATATCATTTACGAAGCACGTCCAAGATACAGCCAAAAAATCTGATTCACGAAATTGCATATAGTTACGATTCATCGATTCATACAAATTTCTAAATACCAGTCTCAAAAAATTAGCATCTTTTCTCGACAAAGAAAAATAAAAAATTTTATAGTCCACATTTTCAAATCTATCCGATTTTGATTTATTGACGCGAAAGGGTGTTTTTCCATATGAATACCTTGATTGCGTGGACAAGCTGCAGGACCCGTGTTTACCACCACGAGAATCGTTTTATAGTTCGTTGACGGGTAATACGGTATCAGAGAGCGATTACGCGCACGCTGCGAACGTCTGGCAACGATTCTCTATTCAAACCTTGAATGAATACAGCGATTTATATCTGAAGACTGATGTCTTATTATTAGCCGATACTTTTGAAAATTTCCGGGATAGTTGCATCAAAAGTTACGGATTAGATCCTGCACATTATTATACTTTACCGGGTTTCACTTGGGATGCTATGTTAAAACATACCTGCATAAATTTTGAATTGCTTACTGATATCGATATGGTCATGTTAATCGAACNTTTTGAAAATTTCCGGGATAGTTGCATCAAAAGTTACGGATTAGATTCTGCACATTATTATACTTTACCGGGTTTCACTTGGGATGCTATGTTAAAACATACCGGCATAAATTTTGAATTGCTCATTGATATCGATATGGTCATGTTCATCGAACGTGGTATACGCGGCGGTCTCAGTCGATGTTCCGGTAGATACGCATAGGCCAGTAACAAGTACATGCAGTCTTACGATTCATCGAAACCATCGTCGTACTTGATGTACTTTGACGTAAACAATCTGTACGGTTGGGCAATGTGTCAACCGCTGCCTTACGCCGAATTTCGGGGTCACAGATGTTTCAACATTTGTTACATTTTCAAATCGCTGTCGATTCACCCATAGGTTATATTCTCGAGATCGACCTAGAATATCCGCAACATTTGCACGACGCTCACGCTGACCTACCGTTTTGTCCAACGCGCACCAAACTACCCGGTAAAATACAGGATAAGTTATTGGCAACATTATACGATAAGCAGCGTTATGTTATTCATTATCGCAACCTGCAGCAGTGCACGCGTCACGGTCTTCGCATTACAAAGATACACCGTATATTCCAATTCGCTCAATCTCCGTGGCTCCGCGATTACATTGGACTAAATACACAGTTTAGAACGCAAGCTACGAATAATTTCGAGAAAAATTTGTATAAATTGATGAACAATGCTGTATTTGGAAAAACGATGGAAAATGTACGCAATCATGTAGATGTTAAACTGTTGACAAAATGGGATGGACGACACGGTGCTGATGCAATGATCGCGAAACCAAATTTTCATAGCCAAAGCATTTTCACAGAAAACTTCATTGCCGTCGAATTACGAAAACTCGAAATGAAATTCAACAAGCCGATATATGTGGAAATGTGCATCTTCGACATATCAAAGGTTTGCTTGTATGAATTTTACCACGAGTACATGTCTCCTTCATATCGCGAAAAATGTAAAATTATACACACCGACACCGACAGTCTAATTTACCACATAGAATGCGAAGACATTTATGAGCACATGAAACGCGATATTCATAAATTCGATACGAGTGATTATCTCGCTGACAACGCGTACGATATACCGCTTGTAAATAAGAAGGTTCCGGGCCTTATGTAAGATGAAAATAACGGAACTGTAATGACAGAATTCGTCGGACTTAGAGTGAAGATATACGCACTGAGAGTACACGGGAAAAAGGACACGAAATAGGCCAAAGGCGACAAATGTAGCGTCATAGCGCGAACGATAACCTTTAACGACTATACACAATGTTTGAGAGATGAAGTCGAAAAATGTCGTCAACAATCGTATATAAGATCGAAATTACACAAAGTTTACACAGTGTCTGAAACAAAAATCGCTCTAAGTCCATACGATGACAAGCGGTATATCATACCCAACTGGATCGACACGTTTCCATGGAGGCATTATAATATACCGCTATAGTTATTCATACATTTTTTTATATGTAGTACTCATTTGGAATAATAAAGAAAATATTACTCATACATGTTTGTAGAATAAGACATATATATATTGTTGGTGAGCCGATCTTTGACGATCGCATCGTCAAGATTGAATCTCACACGTACAACTCATACGCCAAAAAACGTTAGGATATAGCGATGAGATAAGAATACCCATACAACAGCAGGATTTATACACATTGCCATGAGAGAGTTATCTTTATGTTGAGGAAAAAATAATTGCACAAGCGACAGCCGAAAATGTGGCTGTAACATTGAGAAATAATTGCGTCGCATTCATGTTTGATGAGATTTGTTATGAACTGGATGGTGTGGAGATTGATCGTAACAGAAACGTTGGAATAACCTGCACGCTCAAGAATTATGTATCGTTATCTTCTGACAAAATTGTTGGCATGAAAAATGCTTCGTGGGATACGATCAACGTTCATTCGGCAGATGGATACTTCAACTTTTGCGTACCGCTCAGCATGTTGCTAGGATTTTGTGAAGACTATAGGCGTATAGTGATTAATGCGCGCCACGAATTGATTATCATATGATCGCACAGTGACAACAACTGTCTACATGGATCATCGGCGTTGGAGCCTAAGGTGGAGTTATTCAAGATGTAATGGAGAATGCCTCACGTACTCTTGAACGATATCAATAAGCTCTCCTTATTGAGAACCTTGGAGAACGGCCAATACCTGAGCATGAGTTTCCGCTCGTGGCACCTGTATGAATTTCCTCTGCTACAAAACACGACCAAACACGTGTGGCCTGTCAAAACTGTCACTAATTTGGAAAAACCACGATATTTTATTTTTGCACTACAGACTGGTCGGAAGAATGTCATGGCGGAAAATATAACTCAATTCGACAACAGCAATTTGATCAACGCAAAACTCTATCTAAATTCAGAGTGTTATCCGTACGATGATATGAATTTGGACTTTGCAAAGAGAAGATACGCTATACTTTACGATATGTATAAACGTTTTCGTACATCGTACTATGGATGCAGCAGTGATGATGTATGGTTAACAACTGATGATTTTCTGCGGCGAG